TCTTGATTTATGTATCAAGAGATAAAAGATGTATCTTTTATTCTTGACACATTGACAACATATCTAGGAACTAATTGAGTCACACGCATAAGTTTAAGCATTCACATAATAAAAGAGATGTAAAGATGGAAAAATTTTCAATTTTGAAAATGGTTTTCAAAAATGAAAAGTTTTATATTTTAAAAATCAGTTTTCTAATTTGAAAGTAAGTTACCTAAAAGGAAAATTAGTTTCCTAATTTAGGTTTAAAGGTAATTTGAAAAATTATTTTCTAATGTGAGCCTCCTAAAAATATTTAATCTAATTTATTTAGAGAGTTCAAATTAATTAGTAATTAACCTATTGACCCAAACTATTTTGACCAAATTAATTAGTAATTAATTAGGTCAAAATAGTTTGGGTCAATAGGTTTAATTAAAAGCCTGCAAGATATTTTGGTTGGAGGATAAACATGAACCTTATTAGATAAGGATCAAGGTCTAAAAGGATAAGATCAAAAAAGGCCCACATGCATTATAACTTCTAATCCTTAGAGAACTTGGAAGAAACAACCTATAGTCCTTTTTGGACTTGTTGTCACCACTTCTTGTCCTTGGAGGATAAGGAAGACACTCCTCTATAAACAGAAATGGAGGTACAACAAACAGAGTAATAATTTCTAGGGCATATATAGCTTGTTATAAAAATAAGGAGAAAATAGTTTTCTCCCTTCCATACACACGCCACCTCTCTCCCTCTCTCTTAGGGTTGTCACAAAATATCCCCGAATAGATTTCTAAAGAAAAAACACTAAATAAGTCGGAAAAAGATGGAGCTAGCACTCTACTACCTTTGAGTGCTTCTTGGACTACGTGAATTATCGATAGAGGTTGGATACTTGGATGGCTCCCTTTCTACGAAGGTTAAATTCCGTGTTACAAGAGATAATCCTTTACTTATGCTTTAATTCATGCATGTATGAGTAGTTAATTCAACGACTTGATCTTGTGAATCTTAGATAGAGGAAAATTTTTGTTTTATTCTGCACCTCCATGGGATGTATGATCCTACAATTGGTATCGAGCCTCGGTTAAATTTTTAATCGTATGCTTTATTAATTATGATTAAACTAACACATAATTATATATTTTAAAAAAACTCAAATAAATTAATTATAAACTAATTTACTTAGTTAACTACCTAATTTATTCTTTTAAAAAATAATTTAACATTTTAACTACCAACTAATTAACTTAATTTAACATTAAAAAACTAAATTAACAACTAAATTAATTAAACTAACATGTAATTTTATATTTTAAAAAATTAAATAATTCAATTATAAACTAATGTACTTAATTAACTACCTAATTGATTCTTTTAAACACAATTTAAATAAATTAATTTAAACTAATTGACTTAATTAACAACTAAAAAACTTAATTAACAATCAAATTAATTAAACTAACATATAATTATATATTTTATAAAAATTTAAATAATTAAATTGTAAACTAATTTAATTAATTATTTACCTAATTACTTATTTTTAAAAAAAATTTATAATTTTAATTACCAATTAATTGATTTAATTTAAAAATTAAAAAATAAATTAACTACCAAATTAATTAAACTAACATGTACTTATATATTTTAAACAAAATTTAAATAATTTAAATGTAAACTAATTTGCTTAATTAACCACCTAATTAATTACTTTTAGAAATAATTTAATATTTTAATTACCAACTAATTGACGTAATTTAACAATTGAAAAATAAATTAACAACCAAATTAATTAAACTAACACGTAATTTTATGTTTTAAAAAATTTAATTATAAATTAATTTACTTAATTAACTACCTAATTGATTCTTTTAAACACAATTTAAATAATTTAATTATAAACTAATTGACTTAATTAACAAAAAAATTAATTAAACTAACACGTAATTATATATTTTATAAAAAAATTAAATAATTAAATTGTAAACTAATTTACTTAATTAACTACCTAATTAATTTTTTAAAAAAACAATTAAACTATTTAAATACCAAAAAATAAAATTAATTTAATTAACAACTAAATCAATATTATTTAAAACATAATTAAATAAACTAACACTAAAATAATTTTTAACAAATAATTAAATTGATTAACAACGAACAAATTAACTATAACAATAAAATAAATTAAACTTACTAACAATTAATCAATAAATAATTAAACAACAACAATTAACAAATAAGTTATTAAAAATTAACAAATATAAAATTATTGAAAAAAATGAAAAAAAAAACTTAATGAGTTACTAATTGCCAAAATAAAATAGGGAAGGAGGACCAGCTGCCAAAAAAGAGAAGGAGTTGCTGCCATGACACTATTCATGAAGAAGAGGAGGGAAGGGAGGAGGAGGAGGAAAGAAAAGAAAGAAGAAGAAATGGGAGGAAAAGGGAAAAGATGGAGGGGAAGAAGAAAAGAAGAGAAAAGAAGAGCTTGGAGGGAAGTTGTTGCCTTGATTGGAGGGGGAAGGGAGGAGGAGATGCGGAGCTACTAGAAAGAAAAGGATGAGGAAAAATGGGAAAAAAGTTCGATAAGTGAATATTGAGGGATTTAAGCTTTTAGTGATGGTTTATAATCATTACTAATTATATTTTCTTTTCAAAAATTTGGTTTCCCTCCTCCAACGAGTAATAAATTAGCGATGATTTCTCAAAAATCATTGCTAATTTTGTTGTTTAGAGATGGTTTTAAGAAAAGAAAATCGTCGCTAAACCTAATTTTTTTTGAATTTTTTTCTAATTGATTTTAAAGACGGTTTGTAGTAAATCATTGCTAATCTCACTCGAAAAAAGGGTATTTAGCGATAGTTTTTAAAAATGCTTCTCAAAATACCCAATTTTATAGAATTAGCGATGGTTTTATTAAAACCTTAGCTAATACCCAAAAGAATTATTTTTTAGCAACGGTTTTTAAAAAACCAATATGGTCTTATTTGACCACGTTAGCGATGGTTTTTAACTATCACTAAAAAAAAAGGTTATGATAAAAATACAGCTACAGACTGCTTGACATCGAGGCTAATATAATATTTTCCGGTAGTGTTTTTTTCAATTCTAAGAATATTTTTTCAACTAGTCAACCTTTGAAAATGGAAAAGTCATAAAGTTATTAAGGTAAAATAATCGATTAAAATTATATTTTAAAAATTATTCTTTTTGTTTCAACGAGATCTTGACTTTAACTTTTCACAAAGTTTAAAAAACTCACTAATTATTATGTCATATTAGCATTTTTTTTACCTCTATAAAATATTTTTCTTTGTTAAAATTTTTGTTACCAAAATTAATCCTACATCACGTGGAACCAATAATAATTTAAGAAGAAAATCTATCTAAAATTAAAATGGTAAATCAAAGAAAAAAAACATTTAGTTAATTAATGATCAAATTTAAAACAATTATAGAAAAATAACATATTAATAAAAATATTTTTACTCTCAAAATTTTGGTATGCAATAAAATTTCTATAATAATGAATATTTTTTATGTAATAAAAAATTTTACTTTGAATTTTTTATATTAAACATATTTGTATGTATTAGGGAAATTTATTAAAAAAAAATTATTTTTTGTTAGTAAAAAATACGAAATTGAAGAAAGAGTTGATTTTCTTTATCAATTAAGAATATTTTAAGAAAGTATATTATTTAAAATTTTAATCAAACAAACGTTTTGAGAGAGATATAAAAATGAAGACAATCTTTTAAAAAAGAGAGAATCATGTTTAATTTTCTTAACATACTATTAATGTTCAACTTAAATATCATTATTGACTAACATATAAAGAAACATATCTTGGTCAATATATAGTTTTGGTAACCAATTTTTCTAGTACTTGCTTTATATGTGAGCATGGCCTTGACGAGTAACAGGACAGTATTTGCATCCGTTTTGCATATAACATGGTGTTTGGTATGAGATTAAAAAATAACGATGAATTTCTATAAAAGAAATCAACAAGTTAATTAAGAATGTAAAAATTTGTTTTTAAGTATGCTCGGTGTCTTAATAAATTAACAGATAAAAGAGAAAGAAAATAATTAAAATATTAATAATGATTGGAGAAAGAGAAATAAAATTATTTGATTGTGTATTTTGATGTGAAATAGAGGCGAGAAAAAGAAAAAAAGAAGAATTGTTATAAGGGTAAATTTTTAACCTGCATGCATTATCTCTGTACAAAACATATCCCAATGATAGATATTCTATGAGGATCACCTCACATTGAGAGATTGACCAATGAACATTAAAACCAACCTTAATATCTGTGAGAGGATTTGAGCTGATGTTGAATTCTAAATTAAGATAATCCTTATTAATATTACAGTAATGCAACTTAATTATTATTAATTGGTTTTGGCACCGGAAACTATATATATATATATATATATATATATCACATCTTTTTGCTGTGTTTCTCTATCTGTCCGTTTTATGACATTTGTGCATAATTTAATTCCTAATTAACTTCAACATTATTAGTCATATCTACCCAAATTTAGGGTAACATTGTTTGAACAGCGCTATGATAAACAAGATATTGTTTGGGAACGGATGATATCTCAAACATTATCCCTTCATATCTCCAACCAAATTTAGAGTAATTTTGTTAGGGAAAAAAATAATGACTGGTAAGCAAAATGCCATAATTCAACAGTGTGGGATGTTTTATCCATCAAATGGTGTCGAAAATTAAGGGTCTAAATCTAGATCTATATATATAAAGAAAGCTGTGGTGTCTTGCGAGTTTCATGCATACGGCCACACAAGGTGCAAGTGTGAGAACCCTACACCAAATCAGCCATCTCTTAACTGTGTCCCGGCCAAGTTTTCTTTCACACACAGATTAAAAAACTTCCTTCACCTCCTTTTTTCACAGAAAACTATACTTCTTGACCTAATTTTGAAGAAAGAGAGAAGCTTTGAAGTTTTTCAGAGATTCATCACAAGTTGCGGAGATGACAGACACGGGCACTGTTAGAACCATTATTGGCATCATTGGTCGGTACTACTGCATAATAATCTAATCATATTATTTTTACATGTATTTATGAACTTCCACAATGTGTGTGTATATATATAGTTTCTATTATTTGAAACATAAAATCATAGATCTGAAAAAGGCAGCCAATTTCATTGCCATTAGGCTGTTCTTATTTTCTTCACAGCATCATGCATGCATGCATGGTACTTGTATATTATTCTTGTCAAATGTTATTCATCTCTTTTGCAGGAAATGTTATATCTTTCCTCTTATTTCTCTCTCCCATGTGAGTTCCTCTTGTTGCTCTAATTCCTTGTTAGTACTTAGGAACCAGATTGAACTAATTATTTGTTAATTGAGTTTTATATATATCGAGATTCCGTACAATTTAGAATTTTTTTATTGATATCCTAATTTTTTATTTTTTTTTTGTTCAATTTAAGAGTTTAATTTACTCTTATATTATTGTTATCTCGGACCTTAATATATTACTTAAGCACACATGACAAATTCTAGCTAATGATAGATTGTCATATAAAAAATTTAAGATCTTAATAAAAAAAATGTGAATTGTATAGGATCTCAACATGAACAAACCCTTTATTAATTTATGCAATCGAATTAATATTTTGCAGTCCCACATTTGTGAGGATTTTCAAGGAGAAGGCAGTGAAAGATTTCAAATCCGATCCCTATGTAGCCACCTTGCTTAATTGTGCAATGTGGATCTTCTATGGCTTACCTTTCATCACTGAGCATAACACCCTTGTTGTTACAATCAACGGTATTGGTTTTGGCATAGAGTGTGTCTATGTTGCCATCTTCTTCGTATACTCTCCCGGGAAAAAGCGAGTACGTTGAGAACAATCTCGTAATTTCCTTCTACATCTTTTCATGCATCGATATATATATATATATATTTGTTTCGTCAATTATTTTAATAGTATATAAATTTCAGACCCGGATCCTCCTTGAACTGCTTGTTGAAGTGATCTTCATGGCCATCGTAATCCTGATTACCGTTTTGGCCTTCCATGCCATGAAAACAAGGGCTTTGTTTGTCGGGATATTGTGCATCATCTTCAACATATGTATGTACTCGTCACCATTGACAGTCATGGTATGTACATTGTCGCTGCCCAAAAACCTAAAAATGAAATAAAAGAAAACAAATAACCTTAGCCTTATATGTTCTTCCATTTAGTTGCCATTTAGGTTATTTAAATTCATGTAAGTTATATATATATATATATATTTTTTTTTATATTATTATTTTTTTTATTTTTTTTTGGCAGAGAATGGTAATTAAGACAAAGAGTGTCAAGTATATGCCATTTTATCTCTCTCTTGCTAACTTCACCAATGGACTGATTTGGATGGTTTACGGACTCCTTAGGTTTGATATCAACATTGTGGTAAGTCAGCGTAGTACATAACTCTTCTTTTCTGGTTTCATACACATTATCTCTACCTAATAATCAAACTTTCATCTTTTACCCTCCCTTTATTTTTCCTTACTATTTGTTGATCTTTTGACAGCTTCCCAATGGCTTGGGAGCGTTATCGGGGATGATTCAACTCATACTCTATGGAATCTACTACAAATCGACCAAATGGGATGATGATGATGATGATGATGTTTCTGGAAACCGATCTGAGGTTGAACTCTCCTCTGCTTAGACTCAACATCAGTCTTTAGTCATTTTTTTGTTGTATATAAATCGGGTATTAGCTAGGCGACTCTCATTTCAGGATTAATTCCGGAGTACATGTGGGCTTAATGTAAATCTCATAAGGATTATGAGAAAAAGATGAAAATAAAGCTTGGTTTGATTTTCTTACCACAAAATTGAAACCGTTGATATCATACTAGATTAATCTTGAACTACCTGTATGAAGCGCTTCCTTTGTTCTTACTATTTCTTTACCCATGTATAAATGGAAACACAAAGGAAGTGAGCAGAACAGTGTCTTACTACCTGTCTTATCAACTAGTTTAGTTTATTGGCCATAAAAGCACCACAAGAGAAATGATTTTTCATACAGAAGATAGTTTAGTATCTTGACCTGTAACAAGAGTTTCCAAGCATATGACGCAGCCATAATTTCAACCAAACCTAAAAAGTGGAGATATGTCAATTATCCGTCTGGATGCACCAACATCACCAACTGGAAGTGCATACACACACCTATGAAAGCAAGTCGGTTGTATTTTTACCTCAAAAAATTAAAAGCAAGAAAATATTGGAACTGCAAAATATTTAACAAAGGGCATACACCAAGGGAATGGACAGAGCAGTACCAATCAACTGAGTTTTAACAATGATATTAGTTAATAGCTTTATAGGCCTTATCCATGAAGTAATCAAGCCAGTCTAGCATGAGAGACAATTTGAGCAAATACACATCTGAAGACCACCCCAAAAGATATTACAAGAATAGAGAAGCAAAAATAAAGAACTTTACCTCAATAAAGTTAGATGTAATACAGCTCCTCACCCTATATCCACCATCATCATTCTTCCCCATTTGATACCATATATCTCCTTATCATCAAGGTTTATGTTGGACAATCAAAAACCTTGAAATCCCAATTGTTCATATCCTTCAAGGGCCTCGATGCCTGCGGAAGCAAAAACAACCCCCCTGTTGATCAGGAGGGATCATACCCCCGCCTTTTGATACATCAATGGCCTCCAACATGGAGACAACCTCATCCATCTCAGGGCGCTTGTCAGGGTTAGCATCCCAGCAACGCTTCATTACATTTGCTAGAGAGCTTGGGCAACACCTTGGTATCTCTGGTCTTAGATTCTACAGTTGCAACATGAGAGGAAATTAGATGAAGTTGTCAACTTCAATGGATTACTCCTTTTATTAGTTTAAACCAAAACATTGGGTGGCATTGCCAGAAATGAATGGGATAGGAGAATATGCCAAACCTGGCGGACCACAGCTGAAGTTACTTCTGAGAAACTAAGGTCAGGATATGGCATGTCACAGCAATATATCTCCCATAAACAGATGCCGAAACTGTACACGTCGCATTTCCTATTATAGGGATTGCCATTGAGAACCTGTAACCAGCCATATAATGAGACATTGATCTTAACCTAATCAATTTTTGATTTTTTTCAAATAAGAAGAACAAGTTCAAACCCCATCTTTTAAAGCTGAATTACTTGAGTAACATAAAAGCCAAATCTTTCAATCATTTACACAGAATGGGACAATATGAAAATTGGAGAAGAACGGTTTTTAAATGGAAACTATGCCTTTGCACAATGAGGCATCCCCCTTCGTAATACACATCTCAATACTTATCAAAAAAATCATCTACTGATTATTTTTTGTGAGTCATGAGAAGATTGCACAGTGCAATGCAGAAAAATGAGAAAAATTGAAAGAAGGTAAACTCTTTACCTCAGGAGCCATGTATCCAAGTGTACCTGTCTCCCCAGTCATATCATTAGGATTTGAAGCCTCAATACGAGCAACACCAAAGTCAGCAATTTTTACGGTCCGTGACTTATCCAATAGCATGTTTTCAGTCTTTACATCTCTGTGAGCGATCTTCTGGGAGTGAAGGTAATTTAACCTACAATGTAAAGTCAATTTGCATTCTAATCACTTAGCTTGAGAAACAAGTAATTAATCATTTGAACTTCCTAGATATAATCAATGAAGAAAGAAATGAAGTAAAAAGAAAGAGAGACGATACTGCAGCATACCCTCTTGCAAGATCAAGTGCCAGCTCAACAACAACTTTAAAAGCTAGCTTTCTTCTCCTGTTCTTTATAAGGTAGGATTTCAGGGCACCCCCAGGAAGATATTCCACAACAACACAACATATATTATTTGGCATCCCAATTTGACCATTTGCAGTTTGTATTTGTAGCTCTGCTGAACCCATTGTCGCCCCTATAAACTGCACTACAAAAGACCCAAATCAGTATAAATAAGTTACTGCCAAGAAGCTATACTATCGATTCTAAGCCACTTCAATAAAAATTGTCAAGGTCTACAACATTCAAAATTTCAAATGACAGATAAACCATTATTAACAATCAGCAGCAATTCTTTTGTATAACATATCTAAAGAAATTGAAATGAGTTATTATCGGGTTTTGGCAATATATCATCATCAGAGCCAATAGAAAGCCAAGATGCCAAGAATGAGCAAGATCAACTTGGACAATGGGAAAAAGGCAGCAATATAGTTAATGGAGCAAGTTGCATTGAACTTGCTACAAATTTTATTCTTTGTATTAGGCAAAGACATACCAAAAGCCATCTTACAGATGAGTTGCAGAAACAAATTGAAGCAAGTTAATGCCAAATTAGAAAATAGGAGCATGAGTGATGGAGGACCTAATAACAATTTTTGGAATTGTTGTTTGAAAAACAGTGAGTTATGTACTTCTATATTCTTATTTGTTTGAATTGCAATCCATCACATGTTTTGGAGTTGGCCATTTGACAATAATTTAAGCCAAGTACAATTTCTATCTAATTTCCATACATCTCTTTTCCTCTCATCACTTTCTTTCTACTCTTCTCCCTTTTCTCCTCTAAATTAATGAAAGAAACACTTTTTAAGGCACCAAAGAATCCCAAGGAGTTTTATGATTGAGGAACTAAAGCAATCAATTCACTTGTCACTACTCGCTTCCAAAGCTAGAGTTAAGCAAATACCACAATTTTGCCAAAATGAAAGAGAAACAGTCTCTATATCCTCACACACAAAATGCTCCAGAAAAACTACACAAGAGGCAACCAGCTGAAACTCAACTGCTGGCTAAAGCATATATACAAGCAATATGAAATAATGCATTTGAGTCCTCCACTGAAGCAGAGGATAAGCAATGAACAAATCATAGGGACAAGCTGAATAAAAGGTTCAAAACATGCACTTCTTGCAAAAAGGAAAAATAAGCACAAAAAAAAAAAAAAAGAAGAACACAGTAAAGAAAATACCAAAACAATACTTATACTTAAGTTCCACTGTGCAAAGAAAATTTCCACGATTTCTAGCAACATTAGAGAAAGTCAAAAAAAAAAAAAAAAATGAAGAACATAGTAAAGAAAATACCAAAACAATACTTATACTTAAGTTCCACTGTGCAAAGAAAATTTCCACGATTTCTAGCAACATTAAAGAAAGTCAATTAAAAAAAAAAAAAAACAGAATTTAGAAAAAGGAATAAAAATTGAAACTACAAATCTTCTTAATTGACCAAAATGGTGAGGAAAACCTCAACTGTTACTCAAGGCATTCAACCACAATTCTTTCCATCCCTCTCTAGAGACAAATAACAAGTACGAGGAGCTCACGATGGCCACCACAAGGCTCAGAACCAGTTCATGGAACTTTGACCAACTGCCCGACCCAAAGTAACCAGGAAAAGAAAAACAAAGATAGAAACCAGCAACTGAGTTTAAACTTTCCGAGCAATAGTCAGAAAGAAACCAGTAACTGAGTTAAACTTTCCGAGCAATAGTCAGCACATGAGTAGAAAGCAAAAAATTTAATTCAAGCAATACATATGAAAGTTCTCCAAACATTTAGAACGTAATCTGAGGCCATGATTATCAGATTTGTAGATATGCACAAACATATAAAAAAGAAAATTTGCAAAAGTTAAAAGGGACCTTAGTAACATTGGGATGATCAAGCTTATGCCAAACAGCAACTTCTTGAGAAAAAGCTGATCTTAGCGCTGAAATCTCAGCTTCTGTCCTTTGACCCTCTTCACCCCAGTCAAGCAGTTTAACTAATGACCAACAAAGAGAAAACCTTTGTTAGTAAAACAAGAACACCTGATACTTGTAGTTATCAGATCCAATATTGTAATATTTCAGTTCAAACCCATGTAGAAAAATCACAGATTACAGAAGAATTAATCATCAGCTCCTTCAAAATTAATTAGAAGTTCCTTCAAATAAAAATTTAATCTCTTTCAAAAGACCAAAAAAGAAGTGAGAAGAAATAACAAAGTGGGGAACTCACCGGCGACATCCTGGCCATCGTAGACACCACGGTGGACAGTGCCAAAGGTGCCACGTGCAATGACAGTCTTGATTGCGAGCTTAGAAGGGTCGATCTCCCATTCCTGCCTCTGCTTCTTGAAAGGGGTGATTTTCGTGGTAGAAGGGGTAGATGTGAGATTAGCAGCATCAACAACAACATCATCTTCTCTCTTGTTCTTGTTTTCAAGAGTTAATACTCTATTAAGATGCCTCTCCAATTGTTCATCAAGACTTTTTAGATCAATCTGATCTGCTCTCACAAACCCATCACTGCTTTCCTTCATTTTTGCTTAAAAAAAAAAAAAAATTATTGCTTTCCTTTCCTTTCACTTTCTCTCTCTAAAAAACTGAGCAACAGTTTTGTACTTTAGGTTAAAAATATAAAAAAAGAAATTAAAAAAAGAAAAAAAGGAAATAAAAGGAAAGTAGTGAGTATTTATTGTTCTTGTGTCGAGCCACAATAAGCCATGTGGGCACATGCAATTGCCTCCTCTTCTCTACACAACGTGGTGCTGTAGTTGTTGTCTTTGAATTCTGAATCTGACCCTGTTTTCCTTTCTTCTTTTTTCCGTCTCTTCCTTTTTCTCCACTCGTTTTATCAGTATTGTTGTGTCTTCTCTTCTCCTCCCTCCGTTAATTACTGCTTACTTCTATTTGATTACATGGTTTCGTGTGATTTCAGTCACCTTCCCCGACTCCATTATTTTGACTATTAGTATGCCATTATATGATGTTATCAATTCGTACTCGTCATCTCAACTCAAGGATGGTTTTGACTTCCACAATGACTTTTTTTATTATTATTATTATTTTTTTACGTTTTAGCAAAAATATGAGTAAATTATAAATTAGTCTCACTTATTTTAAGAAATAAATTAGTTAGTCCTTTAAATTTTAAATCTAATTATTTCGTTTTTTAACTAGTGTTAATCATGACTAATTTAATTTATTATTTTATAAAATATTTTTTTCTTGTCAACTTTCATATTTTTACTTATTTTTATTCCTTTTCAATTTTAAAAAAAAATAAATAAAAAATAATTAATTTTTTAAACTAAAAAACTGTTTAATTTGTTTCTGAAAACAAAAAGGACTACTTTATAAAATACTCTAAAAAATGATCTGTTGATATGATTGAACTCCAAATATTTTAAAAGATCATATGATACTTAGTTTCATAAATAAAGCTTAGGATATGTTTATTAATAAGCGTCATCTCCTTGGTTGCCTCAAAGTAGTGTTTTCTTTACCATTTGATTAAATCGCTATCTATCATTTTCTGCCCTTTTATCATTCCTACATCTGGGCCAATTTTTATATGTGGCATTAGCTCATTTGAGGTATTACATTCATGAATTTGTTATTCAATTTAAAACTCCCAATGATAACCACCTATATATTAAGCCATGTGCTATAGCTGTAAAAATGTTATTTTGGTTTGGTAAAAATTCAAGTTCAATTTCATTATGTATAAATAACTAATTAGTTATAAGTATTTGTAAATGATATTAAATTTATACTAATTTGATTTAAAAAATAACTCAATAATCGATTAAATGTTAAATGTGTTTTTGTGCTCGTTTAACTACCTATTTGATCATGATTATGTCTTCGTTACCATGAAAAATTTTCTTGAAGCAGGAGCAATTGTTTAGGTTTTTTTCTACATTATTTAAATATTTTAAATCTTCAACACCCCTTTCTATATGTACATTATCTATGTTTTTTATTTTATTTTTTTCTGTTGACAAATGTTTAAATATTAAAATAGAAGAGATTTGAATTGTAATTTTTTTTACTCATAAAATCCCTTTAATATCATTAGACCAGGTAATGAAAACTTATTCGGGTCACATAAAAAGTTCACATCCAAAATAGGTTTCGCCCCAAGCTTAAGTTGCTATTTTAAACGTCCCTGCAACATGTATATATAAAGAAAATAAATGCTATAAATTTCAAAACTTGTAGGTTTTGGTGTTTTGATCCGGTACTCCAATTTCTTTTAGTTTTAGTGATCAGTGTATTATTTGGTTAATTTTTGTATATCAAGTTTAAATCTCTCTTCTTTTTCTTTTACTTATATTAGGTCATCCATAACTAAACTAAAATATATTCACGAGAAATTTCTTTTTCAGAATCTCTTTTAAATATTTGAATTATAAGTTTATTTATATTAAAAATTATTAATTAATTTTTATTTTAAATTTAATTTGGTTAGAATTAGAATCCATCAAAGTTAACTTGATTTATATTTAAGTAATTAATTAGGTTAATTTTGCTTAATTGGTTGAATTAAAAATTTATTTATATTAAAACTTGTTAATTTATTGTCATTTTAAATTTAATTTAGTTAGAATTAGAATTCATTATAAGTTAATTTGATTTATACTTAATTAATTAATTAGGTTAATTTTATTTAATTGGTTGAATCAAAACTTTATTTATATTTTAAAGATAAATATCAAAAGCCCACTTGTTAAATAACTTTTAATCCTTAGAGGATTAGAAAGCAACAACCAAGAGTCCAAATTAAGACAAGTTGTCGGCCCTCTCATTTTCTTTGGAGGATAAGTAAACTCTCTCCCTATAAATAGGAGGAGAGAGATGCGACAACAAGTAAGAATTTTTGGAGAGAGAAAATTCACACAATTAAAAGGAGAGCTAGGGTACACGAAAAAAAAAAAAAATAGTTTTCTCCTAAAAACCCTAGCACATGCTACTTTCCTCTTCTATTTGGGTTGTAACAAAATTACCCAAATTAGATTTCTATAGGAAACACTAAACAAATCAAAAAAAAGTAGAGCTAGTACTTTATAAATTTTGAGTGCTTTTTTATAGTTGCTTAGACTGCGTGGATAATCAATAGAGGCCGGATCCTTGAACGACTCCTTTCTCTACTAAAGAATTTAGATCTATGCTACAAGAGGTAATTCTCTATTCATCACTTTAATTCATGAATATATAGTTGGTTGATTCAACGGTATGATCTTGGGTCCTTTAGATGGAAGAAATTTTTATTTTATTTCGGACCTCTATAGAATGCATGATCCTTCATGAGCATTATTTATAAAAAATTGAATTATTCAAACCAATTCGGATAATAAAATTTCAATTTTTTAATCTATTTTTTATTTATAAATTATTTGTATCTAATCAATTTGCCCATGAAAATTAATTAAGTAATTTTGCTAATTTTATTATGTGTTAATTTATGTTGTTTTTTTTTTTTTTTTAACATGGATCCAAATTACACGATATATAGATTTAATTGAAGATGGACATCGCTCAACATAGGGCTTAGGATCATGAGAATGGATGCGGATATTCTAGCGAGAATCAATTATGTGCCTTATCATTAGGATGTATTAAAGAGATTTGATTGGTGGGCTCGAGTAGGGTCTGCTAATGAAAATCCCAATTATTACTTCTTTTACCTTTTGCTAGCAAGTTGAAGCTTTAACTTAAAGAAATCCAGTTTCTTCAACTTAAATCGATTGTCTAAATATTAATGACATGACATAATTCTATCAGTCAATGGCCTTTAATTCACTATAAATACACAACGTATAGATTTAACTAAAGATAGACATCGCTCAAGATAGGGCTTAGGATCGCAAGAATGGCTATAGATGTTTTAGCAAAACCAGTTTATATGCCTTATGATTCGGATGCATTAGAGAGATTTGATTGGTAGGCTTAGAGTAGGGTCTACTAATGAAAATCCTAATTATTACTTCTTTTACCTTTTGCTAGCAAGTTGAAGCTTTAACTTAAAGAAACCCAATTTCTTCAACTCAAATCTCCGATTGTCCAAATATAAATGACATGACACAATTCTATTAGTCAAGGGCCTTTAATTCACTATAAATATCCTTTTTTTTTTATTTCTAGCAAAAAAACTTCTAAATTATGTCTCTCAAATCTTTCATGTTTATATATTAGACAACATTTAAAACTTAATTTATTTGAATTTTTACATAATTTAGCTTTAAAAGTATCCCACGGAGGGAGAGAGAGAGAGAGAGAGAGTAGGGACTAAGAAACATGGAAAAGGAATATGTTGATTTTTGGAATTAGATAGATAGGAAAACCTAATAATTTTAAACCTAAAAACTGACATTAATAATTATTGGACAAATAGAATATTACGAGTACATATCCTTACAATGTGCACATATTTCTCTTTTTGATTTATATATTACACATGCTCAAAACATATTAAGATACTTTTAATTATTTTATTTCACATTTAATAATACTTAGTTTCTTTACCATATTTACTAAAATTATCAATTTTATGTAGGAAATAATTATATATCTCGGAGTTGATAAAATATGACTAGAAAATAAATATTAATTAGTTTGTTTATTCAGAAATTTAATATTTTTGCTTTGAAAAATAACCTTTTCAAATTATATAATACCTTTTAAAAATAGTTGAAACTAGCTAAATAAACTCAATGCTAATGTTCCCTTATACATATTCAAATAATTTTTAAAACATTTAAATATTGCCAAAATCAGTATTGACATTAATATTACAATATAGTTTATAATCAAACAATTTTTCTTGGTCTTATGGTAATATAGGTTTCCTCATGCAATGTTCAAGATTAAATTAAATTCAATAAAAAATGGGCTCGCTACTCCAAGATTTGAAGATTTTCATTAAAACTAACTTAATCTAAAAATTGTATCTTGATAATTTAACATAGAGAATACTCTCTTAATCACCAAACCAAACCCTCCATGTTATCAAACAATAAAAATGAAATGGTGCATTCCATTACTAACTACACATACAATTGTTCAAATGCTTCATGCATCTTTTGATTAATTAGGCCTTAGCCATAAATATCTAACATAACAATTGCATCTTATTAAATAATAATAATAATAATAAACATAATAATTGCATTGCATCAGCATGTTAAATTTACAAGGAAGTTTAGGAATGAAATGGATTAGTTCTCGGATCTATTACACCCTTCACTTTTCACGTACGTAGTGGTATTGCCAACTTGATTCTCTTTTATTTTATTACATTATATTTTTTGTTGATAAACTGCAACTTGTCTAGTATTAATCTTCCTGCTCTTTTTAAGAAGTCTTGAGTTCGAACCTCTTTCACGTACAAACTCTTAGGAAATCAGTTCTTGCAATCTCTCCCATACCCTTGAAGTCTCCACACCAACTCTAGAAATTCTAACCTAATAAATTTACCAAGTAATTAATAATATACCTCAGCTTGCTTATAGAGATCATATTTATATAAACAATTTGCACTAGCAGAAAAAAAAATGATTGAATTTAAGAGTTGCATTTAAGAAATCACCTGTGCATGAATTGTGTGGAAAACCTTGTCTCCTACAGTTGAATAGCTAGCACTCACAACTTCAGCTCCTTCTTCACTAAGAGCAGTAATAACTTCATAAAACATGAAGTTCTTGTTCAACCCACTAATCAGCACCACTTCTATGCCCGACCCAAAATCTCTTAGTTCAACCACTGGCAATCTCATGCCAATCATCATACTAGTCATTCCACTGCTGCTTGTTCGAGTTGTTGTGATTGCTTGTTCCTGTACCCTCTTCAGTTTCTCTACTCTTTCTCTCAGTTGCTTTATATAGCAGGCAGCAAGCTCAAGCTGATCTTGTTGTGATAGCATGTCCTGGAAAGGAATATATATATATATCGATTTTAAATCAAAATTTATTATATATGTATCTTGTCAATGAACAATATCACCTGCACGTTAATATTCAAACATGAAAACTACAAATTATAATTAGAAATATACCCAAAATATTTTAGAATCAAAGCTTGTCCAATTGGCTTATATTTAGCTGATTTGGACACCATGGTAAAATTATGTATATATTGTGGCTAGCCAACTGGAATCCTGATTGACTACTAAAATTTAGACTGTTTTTAAATTATGATTTGGTGTTAGGGTTTTTTTCAAGCAATCTCTCCTATGATTACTACCTAAAACAATTGCATTTGTAATAAAGTTTAATAGTACTCCACATACATCTTTTAGCACCTTCAACAATTTATTTGGACAAGAAGGAAGAAAATAATATGATTCCATGAATTTAATTATATCAAATCTAAGTTCTTCACACACACACACACACCAACAATACCTTGGAATGTTTGAAAAAATGACGAGGAACTAGTGAAGCAAGCTGGAAGCATAAATCTTTCATGTGAATCCTCCGATTTCTCTCCACCGTTTTTCTATCAAGTTTGGACGACTCACTATTGCTCCTCTTCATCTTGACTCTCCCGGAAAAAAAAAAAAAAAAAAAAAAAATTTCCTTTGGTTTACACTACCAAAACCTTGACGACCGCGCAATGCTTGGATGCAAAGAAAGAAAGATGGAAGAAGATAGATGAGATGTAATAGAGTTCAAAGGGCGAGCAGGAGCATACATAAGTGCATGTACCAAATATATAGAGAGAGCGAAAGGAAGGAGATTCATTCATTCACCCACATGATAAATGAACGAAAGACTGAATTGGAAATGATACAGGAAACATCATTCGTCTATCGTCAAAAAAAAAAAAAAAAAAAAGGTAAAAGTGGGTCCATAAAGAAAACTAGAAATAGAATGAAAGGAGGACATTAGAAACACTAGGGAATCTAATTCACATAATACTGATTTCCCATGTTATGTATCTACCTTTCATCATCAAGGCCCGGAATTCATTGGAGCAGCTGACCCTTACTATTGATGTATACCTTATTTGACCAAAGACTTTTAGCCGTCACCGACCACTTTTTTTGTGATCCCTAATTATATCATGGTTTAAAATTCTTAACCGAATTTTATTTTTGATGAATTTTAACTGAAATTTTGCCAACAGAGATTAGGTTATTTACACAGGCCATGGATCGAATTTACTTTTTCAATCATTTTTCCTTATTTATTAGAGATTCTTCGGATGTTAGCTGGTTTAAACAATAATTATTCTTCCCTCATAATCTACGATTACCTTAACAGATTATTAGATTAGAGTTTAAAATTTATATTTAAAAGCGTCTCGTGACGGATTTTTTTTTTCTTCACAGTTTCCCATTTAGTTTAAACTCGAATTAATTATAAATATGGATTAGCAAATCCATTTACCACTTAACCCACTGTTTCAATTATATATGTTTGAGATGATTAATTTAGTTCAACAAATTGGATTTTTTTTCCCGTGTGGATCATATTCTTGAGCACGTTGATGGCGATTTTTTTAACAGAGAAGGTTACTGTTTCAACATTTAGGTTCAAACTGATAATAATTCATCATACTTTGTATGAAGACTGTTTTGTGTACTAGCAAGGGAGAAGTCAATTGAAATATCATTGTCATATCATTATCATGCGCGTTAATTAATGTTCTCATATATATATATATATATATATATATATATATATATATATATATATATATATATATATTTCAAATCGTTTTTTGCATCCATAAAAATTAAATTTATCTCCTTTTAAATTAAAATAATATAAAAATATTTTTATTCTTTTATCAATTATTAGACTATTTCTTCAATTCAACTAACCTAAATTTGATATCATTAAAAAATCATTATTACTAATTATAGATGTTAATGAAACTAAATTTTGACTTCTATCAAACTAAAGCAGCTGTGTTATGACTAAATCACATCCATTAATAATTGTTAATTAACACTATTAGCGTTTCACATATTCTCTCTTGATTTAAGTCAAACTAAAATAATTATATTACCGTTGTAAGACATAAGTTAGTGGTAGGTAATTAATGTTAGTGTTTCATTAATTCCCTCAACGATGCATGCATAAAATTGCCAACTAGCTATTGAAATAATATGTATGGTGGGTCCTCAGTTTTATTTTTTTATTATTTATTATTTTATTTTTTTAAGGAAGGCTTAGAATTCCCTTAGACCGTATCGGGGAAAATAAGTTTTAAAAATTTATTTTTCTCATTTTTCTATTTTTTAATGTTTGTTTTACGTTTTGGAAAAAAAAATCAACGGAACTTGATTTTAAGTCACTAAATTTAATATGTTATTTTTGAAAAAGTGTTTTTCCAGTTAAAAAGAGAAAAACATTTTCTCTCTTTCACGAGCTATTTCGCTTTCGTGTTATTCATTTCTTTCTCAATATATTTTAACAATTTTTTCTCTATCACCTTTTTATTTAAAATATATCAAATTAATTTTTAATTATTTCTAATCAATTATTATTAATTATTTAATTATTTTTATCTATTTCTACTAACATTTGATTTTTCTATTTATAAATACATTAAATATTCTTAAAAACTTTTTTTACACCTTAAAATTATTTTTATAACAAATATTTCAATAATTTATCTCTAAACTTTTTTTTATCATTATCCCAAACACTACTCAAACTATACTTAAATGATTGAAAATAATTATTCCAAGATTGCAATCATTTGCAAAAAAAATTTGAAACTAATTATTTCATTAATAAATACATTATTTTTTCAATACTATTTATTTACAATTAAATCAATAATTCGTGTCCAATTTTAATCGAGTTGTAAAATTTTATTGATAATTGTAGTCAATAATTAGTTACAAATTATTTCAACATTAATCTTTTGAAACCAAATGAATAATTGTCTACAAATGATAACTAATAATTTACAAAATTATTTTTAGACTAAATTATTAGTTCAATTTTCAAAAAAAAAAAAAAAATTCTTAATTGAGTTACCAAAATAAGAATGCTAGGATTACTTAGATTTTTATTTATTTATTTTATTATTATTATTATTTTTTTTTTACCAAATGTGAATATTGACTTGATTTTATCTTAAGTAGTTTTGATAAGTTGATTTAATGATTAAAAATGTACATTTTATTTTTTGATTTTTTAAATTTAAATCTTAGAGTCATTATTTATAAAAATTTATTAATTTTTTTTTAAATACATCTTATATTGTGAAATTGTGAATATATTTTGTTGAACTTCTCTCAAAACTCATTAGTGTAACAATCACATTATATTTTTATATTTTAATTTTCTGTATTAAACAAATGAATATATTTTTCATTAGGTTTTTTCATATAATTATCAAACGTTAAAAAATATTATTTTAAAAAATAATTTTGTAAAAAATAGTTTCTATGTGGTTATATTTTCTATTAAAAGTTGTTTTTCATTAAATAAATAGAGCTTGAACGACGGCTTACTTGACCTCTTCATGGTTCCTTCTTTGAACTGAAAACTAATGACAGGGATTAAAGGACGCGCTTCGCAAGCAGGAGCGGTCCGACGGGAATAAATACTCTCAAATCTCCACCCTATATTTCCATATATTTACAGTTTGGAGTTTTTGGAAGTTTATAAGAAAATTATGTTATTATAAAATATTCATCTGCGATTGTACATGATCTGTTTAATCTGGATATACGAAATCTTATATGAGAATATTTTAATTATTGTTAAGAAAGAAAAAAAATATATCTGTAATGACATATATGTTGAGTATTTCTAGTTTTTTTTTTTAAAAAAAAAAATCTTCTATGAGGGCTCGAGAAGAGGAAATTATTAAGCTTTTAAATGGAAGACTAATTTTCTATTACTACGATCACATTATTATTATTTTATGCATATGAGGTATCTCCGAAAGAAAGAGTCCAAGATAAGTCGATTTGAGATTCTTGGATCAATCATTTATAGAGATGACAAGAAATAGAAATGTGGTTCATTAATTTAATCTTTTATTCTTTCTATAGAAGAAATATTTTATTCATTAGTTATTAATAAATCATCATATAAATTTTGATTTGACTCATATTTATCCACGTTAGTTTATCTATTTATTAAGCATTAATTTACAAACTGCTAAAAATATTTTTTACAAAATATTTATTTTAGTTTTTATAATTTTCGAAAAAAATTTTTTGTATCCTTAAAATTTATTATTTTATTTATTATTTTTTGGTCATTTATTCATAATTTTTGTCATAACCCAATTTTGGGTTCCTTTAAAGGAAAAAAAAGAACAAAAAAGGAAAAAATATATATATAAAAATATCTCCCTAAAATCATTCAAAAATATGTTGAAATCTTCCACAAATCTTTTTGAATTGGTATCTCCTTATTTTTAATTAATCAAATCTCAAAATTAAGATTTGACAATTAAAATTGATTTTGGGAGAGATTTTACGAGGTTTAGGCCTATAAAAAGCTTTCGGGTTCCAATTTGCGAGGGGGAAAAAAAAAAAGAGGAGGGAGGAAGGATTCGGGGTTGAGAGGAATTGAAAATCAAAAGCAAAAGGCTTAATTTTTTTTTTTTTAGTACTGCATTTTTTTTTTTGGGTTTCGTTCTTCGCTGTCTTGGCGTGTTCATCGGCTAAGATTGCTTCCCGTTATCCTTGACTTCTACAAGGCTTAATTCTTGAATCTTGAGTACTACCTAAACATCCACATTCATCAAAGTCATTAAGAAATTTCAACATCTTCACCTAAGCCACAAGTTTGCCCGGGTTTGATTTAAATTTTGTCAGTCTCTATTTTTTGTATTTTTGCTTTTGCCAACCCTTTAAATAGTCACTTGAATTGTTGTTAATTTGTATTCTAGTTTAGATCTTAGGCTTTAGTTCAATTGAATAAGCGAATTTCATGTCATCTACCATCACAAAAAAAAAAAAAAAAAAAGAGTAAAAGTGGTGGGTTAATGATTTAGGTATATGATGATTTTTTTTTCCTTTCCTTTTCTTTTATTATTCATTTATTTTTTCTAGTTGTTTATTTTTATTCATTGTCGTTTTTTTCATATTCATTTAGAATTGTTATTTTAATTTTCTTATTTTATTTTCTTTGATATGTATTGCTAGAAAAAAATAAAAAAAAATCTTAACGAAGTCTCTTATCCGATAGGGACCGACGTCATAAAAAAAATGCTTAAAAATTTTGGCGAAGCCTCCTACTTGGTAGCGACCGACGCCACAAAAAAAGAGTAATAATAACATAATCATAAATAAATAACATTGATGAAATCTCCTATCTAATAGGGATCGACGTCACAAAAAAAAATTCAAAATTTTCGACGAAGCCTCCTATTTAATAGGGCCGACGTCACCAAAAATCACCTTTTAAGATGTCCTCCGACACGTCGGTTGTGTCAAGGCTTTTAGTGGATCCGATGTTTGAATCGATGTGTCACCTAACGAAGAGGACCGACGATCGTTTCAATATGATGCCACGCCCAAAACTAAAAAATTCAATTTGTTTAAAAAATGAGAGTT